ATCTCCAAGTATCGAAAGTCGAAAGATAAAAAGTAACGAGTCAAATTTTACTCTAGCCGTTCAAGCTGTTATAGCCGAGCCGTCTCGAGTTCGCGTCGACTGGTCTCATCGTGATTAGTCTTATCGTACGCGTCACTACTGCAGCTAAGCTGTTGTTTCCACCCGTTAATGTGCCACGCTTCCGCTCGTAATCTTGAACTTAACACGCGCGGCTATCCACAGCTTCGCCCGGCGTGTGCGATAAAAAATCGCGATAGCAACCTGCATACACGCGTATAGGTATACGTAATATTCTTTGCGGAACCAAGGGACTTGCGCTCTTCAACAATGACGCATCCGCAACCTCTCTTCCGCGAGAGTCCCCCCGCGTATCTCTCGCCGTCGTTCACAGTCGCCTCGGCGATGCGCGTTTTTCCGCGTGTAAACTAGGCTGGTCTCGACCCGGCGAGATTAAGGAACACCGTCGCCTCCGGGTGTACGTCGGCGATGAGGAATTCCACGCCGCCAACGATGAAAAACGGGGTGGCTGCAGTTCCTACTTTTTACCGCGACCGAAGTGTTTTCGTACGGCGGCGGTGTGTTTGCTTAAGATCGTCCATTCGGTGAAGCTTGCCGGCAACATCGGACTCGTCCCAGCGAAGGAGTTCATCCCGTTCCTCCCGAAACGTACAAGCGGATAATAATCTATAATTATCTCCGCGGCATAAGAGAGGCAAGAGGAAGAGAAGGAACGTCGCGTTCGATACTTCCGTAACAGTCGTTTAATATGGCGTGCTGGAACCGGATTGACGAGTCGACGTGCGAGTGCCTCGATGCGCAATCGATGAGGTCCGTCGATATTTTTTCGAGAGATTCTCATTTTCTATTCGGACGGGCAACCCCGTCCTCGACTATTCCGCCTCTACTATCGTGCAATCTGTTTCGCGTTATGATCAAAGATATCCTTGGATCTGGACGAAGACCTCAGCTCGGGTCGCGTCCTGATCATACGCCATTGTGATCGGCCGTTCGTCATCATACGGGGCCTCCAGCAGGGTGAAGAGCCTTCACGAGGATAGCGCTTCGTTGCCCGCTCTTTTTCCATCTCTCTTCCCTGCGCGTTTTTTTTCTCCTCTTGGCCTCCTCCACTCGTTCCCCCTCTCGTCGTGGTGTCGCCGTCATGCGGGCCGAAGCGGCACGTAATAATTAAAGCGATACACAATTTATCGCGCGTTCTTCGTCTCGTCTCGTCTGGTTTCATCTCGTCTGCCGCGAACGGTGGAATCGGAGCAGGAAAAGAAAAGGCAGGGGGTTTGTCGTGGATACACGCTCTCGTGGAAACGTGTGTCGAATGGATCTCCTGATCCCCACACGTGCGAGCATGCGGCTGTGCGAGTGGTGTTAACTTGACCGTGAGCTGCGGGGTAATGGCCAATGATTCCTGAGTAAATATCTGTGTAATTGCCAGTTTACGGGGGAAGGAGAGAGATCCTCCCTTTTAACCTCGGGGTGGTGCAATGTTAATCAGAGTGTACCATCGTATCGTCAGAAAAAATTATTGCAGATCGTATACATATAATGCCGATTTTATGATAAAAGATTGCAAGATATTCTGTATTCCTAAGCGGAAAAGTGAAGAAGAAGAAACCGAAGTTTTCCAAGATGTTGATTTGTTCCTTTGTTTAACAGAGAGAGAGATATTTATCGCATGAGATATTTATATATATGAATATATGATGTTACAAATGGAGAATAAAAAGTGCACAGTAAACATAGGCCGAAAAATCAAAACCCTTTTTGAGTTAGGAATTTTTCGATTTTGATACCGTAAATTATTTACATGCTTTCATTGTTCTCCTACGCACGGTGGGTGAACGAACGAGTATTTTACTATATTATTATTAATTATTGCTTTGTTAGTAATAATAAGCGTTGCGCGTGTTCTCCTGCCGTTTCCACGCTTAACATCTTCGAATTGCAAAATTGCAAACTCTCTCGGAAAAATTGGCTTCAGTTTCTTCTTCCGTTTAGAGACAATCTCACGATTCTTTTGTCGTCAGCCAGTACCAACGTAAGTCTACTACAAAAAGCAGCACGAAGCGATGCCGATGACACGCAGCGATCTCGCAGTAATGTGACCTTGGATTACGAACATCTCGACAGTAGTGAGAGAAATCCGCTGCGTCGTAAATTCGACCTTCCTCGAGTCACCGATGCGAGGAATGCCTCCGCTCCGAGGGAACCGCAGGACAATGAACGTTTTCGAAATGTACGCACGATTACGATTTCGTCACTTCCGATTATCGTCCTCGTAGCGACTCACCTGCCGAAGAAACTCGATCGAGCGATAAAGCGTGCAAGGATTTTTTCAGCTCGCTCCTGAGCACCGCGATTCTCATCATCGTAGCGATGAACAACAACAGCCGACTGCTGGCGGATCCGCGATCTGAACCGCGATGGTGCGGTACAGTTCATCAAGAGTCACACAGTCCACAGCGGAATCGACTCGACGGAGAGCGCTGTGGAACCGCGAGGCAACCGGAAACACGGCCTGCCGCGTCGAGTATTGCAAGGGCCAGGACAAGTCCGGGACCAGAGGCGTGACGAAGCGTGCAAGTCGATTTCGCGTGCGCGAAATAGCCAATTGGATGCAAGATCCAGTCGCTTCATTAACGCACGGCGATACTTATTGATGCTGGGGAAAAGCGGGAGGAAGGAGGCTGAGGAGAGAGAACGAGAGAGATCGGGCATCGGGCGAGGGCGTCAAACGACGCCGCGTCTCCCACGTGTCTGATATTTCAGCGTTAATTGCGCAAAATGTACCATTCGCGCGCGAATTAGCGCGCACCGGCAATTGTTCCAAGGTTCCTCTGAAAACGCGCTGCCTAATCGCGAGCGAGCGAGCGAGCGAGCGAGCGAGCGGCAAAAAGTCAACGCAGACCGGCAGCGAGCGCGATTAAATGGCTCTCCGCCATGCTCACACCATCGCTCGCACTCGCTTTTTCACTGCTCATTGTGAACTCTGCTGCAATGTGTGACATCTCGGTATGCGGGGTTCTCACAGAGAATCCAGGACCCAGTCGGCAAAAAGTGCGGAGCACACGTCTCTTGCGCCTTCGGAAACGGGAGCCCGTCCCTGCTCTCTCTCTCTCTCTCTCTCTCTCTCTCTCTCTCTCTCTCTCTCTCTCTCTCTTACAGCCCCATAATAAAAAGACGGGACTTCTTGTCGCGATGCTTTCAGAGTTTCAGGGCCGAAACGCGGCACGAAAATCTCTCGTGCCTCTCTCTCTCTCTCTCTCTCTCTTTCACTCTCTTTCTTAAAGTTCATCCCGCGCGCGCGCGCGCGCGCGACACGATCGCGCGCAACGGGATTCGTCGCAGACGGGAGGAGGTCATCGTTCGATATAGGAAAATTCAAGACAGATCGAGAAGCCCGATTAGACCGTTTAGGAGTCGTTACGTTATCGCGCGTGAGATCGAGTTACAGTTGCGGGACGGATTGGCCGGTGTTAATTGAACATTCGCGTCGCCTACAGTCTTCATTATGGAAATACTTATCACGTGTGATACGCGCGCGGCCAGTATCCCGGACGAGCTAACGGAAGGCGCTCGCGCGTTTTGCGACAATCTTTGCAACCGCGTGCGAAACGGGTCAGACGAGAGCGCGGACGCACAATGAAAGGTCTCCGCAGCGTGCGCATCGAGGAGAATCGCACGCGCGAGTAATATCTGGAGCTCGGGTGGAAACGGGGATAGTGACGTTTGCGTTTTAGCGCGGCTACATTTTTTTTAATGCGCCGACCCTGATCGTAATCGGCCGTGCGAAATTGCAGGAACACTTAGAAGCCGCTCTAAGAAACGCTCGTCGCTTACAATCGGCTGTTATTATTCCAACGGCGACGCCGAAGGTATATAATACGTGTGGACTTATCATCGAACTTGAAGTTGAACTTGAAGATCGTTATTTTCGGGTGATCATTCGATCGAGCTGCTCCTGCGGAGAAGACGAAATCTCAAATAGCGGCCAACATGTGTCCCCTTCCTCCCCTACCCCGCTGTCTGCGCAGATGGCGAAGAAAAATATGCCCTGGCTGAACGTCTTCCTGGGACGAAGCCCTCTGAAGAGAGAGAGAGAGAGAGAGAGAGAGAGAGAGAAAGAGGGGGAGAGAGAGAGAGAGAGAGAGAGCCGTGTCTATGTATCTGTTCGCGCAAAAAAGGACGCGTAACCGCACGATATGCGGTCGCGCTGCAGAAGAAGGCTCTAGAAGCTGTGAGAGGAATTATGCGACCTGCGCTGAAAATTGCTGCCGATCAAAAGACATTTTAAATATTCGGCCCTCCCCACGTATGCGGCTCCCGCTTTGTGATACAAATTTTCTTCGCAAAATCCTGTGATGAATTTTAATTTAGAAAAAATTGCTAGAGTACTCCGCGGCTGCAAGATCGAAAGGATCTCGTTGCCGTCACCGTCGACTCGTCGCTCTGCGTGACGCTCGCTCCACGATTGTGTTTCAAGGGAAGACGCGAATTAAGAGTAATCGCGGATTAGACGACGTAAATAAATGTGGATTAAGCCGCGCTACTGGCTGACGAATTCATCAACGTACGACCGTCACATGCCTGGTCCAGCTGTTAATAAGCGTACGGGAATTGTGTCGCTCCCGTTTGCGCCAAACCGCTCTACGTCACACGCGCGCTCAAACGACCGCTTGTGCTGTTCGTTTGCTCTGTCAGACGCAGCGTCGTGCTTTTTGCACCCTCCCGCGTTGTTCTTGACCGTCTCCCGCAAATGTCCTCGCGCGTCGCCTAGCTCGTTCTCACTCGTGTCGCGTTTATCGGGGTGGCGTGTTGATTTACCACCTAACGCGAAGGATACTTGAAGATCAATCAGACATCATCATCGGATAAATTTGCCGCTCGTTCAGAGCGTCCACGAGCGCGTTGAGAATCGAGGAGCAACCTTTCGCGATTCGAACGTCAAGATGTTCCAACGTGTGAGAAAATCATCGCGGAATACTCACCTGTTGGGGTGCGGTGTCGGCCGGCGAGAAGCTCGACAGGGCGGTTAGGGGTGCCAGGGAAGCGCATGAGGACGCTCTCGAGGGCGGTGGTGTGTGACCGGGGGTAGGACTTCCGCTTCCGCAGCTACTCGCACCGCCGCTCGAGGAGAGACTCACGCTGTCCGACCGCCCTCTCCACGGCGAGACCGACACGTGCTTCAACATTCCTCCTGGTTCTTATCTGCAATCAGGATCCACGGGTCGTTTAACGTTAAATCGCGAGTATTCGGCTAGTGAGCGAACCTGATGGGTCGTCCGCTTCAATGAATCGAGCACGACGATGATAAGTGACTTTCGATTCTACCTCGCGGGCATGCACGCTTTGCTTCCATCTACGGTTCTACCGTGAAGCGGTCGATTTGCACTGAGAGATGAGTCAGAGACGCGCTTCTGGCGCGTGATAAATGATGGAGATCGACGCGGGCAATGAGTCGCGGAAATTCGCGGCGGCGGCGGCGGCGGCGGCAGCGAGTAATTTCGCGACCCACCGCGTGGGCGACGAGTGTAAGAACACCACGAGTACTTTCGATTGCCGCTCTCGTCGCGAGGAATACGACGTGAAATGGTCACGTCGAGTTTCACTCATTGTGAATTTCCGCAGGAGTATCCTGCCGACAGGAGCGGCCGGCGCAGCGCGACTTGCGTTTCAATTAATCTCCTGGTGCGTTTCCTCTCGCAAGGTCGACGAAAAACCGTAATTACCCCGGCGGCCTTCCGATATACGTAGTGTCCAGCGACTTGTGTGGTTGCTAGCTTCCACAAACGTGGAAAGTGGCGGGAAACCTGCTCGCGGAAAAACCGGACGCGTGCAACGGTACACTTTAAGCGCGGCTGTGTAATTTGACGTCGGAGTGAAACCAGACCGGTGTGCTGCACATCTCGAACGCACGCACGCACGCACGCAGGCAGGCACGCACGCAGGCAGGCACGCAGGCACGCACGCACGTCTACCCTGTGGAAAGCGGGAAAGAGACCGTCCTCTCGCGCTCTCTGAAATATTAGGGTCCGGCCATCGGTCACGCACGTGCGAAAAACATATTTTCCACGAGCCGCACGAGCCGCATGAGACAATGAGAGGAACTCGAGGAAAAACGACTTCTATCCTTGCGTCATACGCAAAAAGTTCTCTCTTATATACACCTCTTCAGGGATTCTCAACATCTCAAGAAGCGAAGCAACTCCGGATCTCTCCGTGAGAAATCTTCCGGCACGGACAACCTCGAGAGATGAGGAGACTCCCGAAGCGGACATTACGTTTTAGTTCTGAGCCGTGCAATTTCGCCATCACGCATACGATAAGGCCACCATGTGAAACCGCACACGTCAACAGCACATCTCGCGTGTGTTATCAGCGGACCGACGCAGCGCGAGCTGCGGGCACGTGCACCCGGAGGATGCGCCGATATGATATCAGGAGCAACCTCGCGAGAGGAGAACGCAAGGAGACGCAAGCGAGCTTCCGGGCTACTTCGAGGAAAAAGTAACTAGACTTCGCCGTTGAAAGTCGAACAGACGAGTCAACGAGACGCTCGAACGTTGCATACTCACTTTTACTGATTCGCAGTCGAGCAGCCCGCGGTGATCGCAACAGCGCACACGTCAGCGCGCGGGAATCATGTTCGCGTCAAGTTAACGCACAAGTGGCATCGAAAGGATCCAAGTTCACTGTCTGAGACCGAGGAGGCACCTGGCAGGCTTAGCCGTCGCTTGATCGATTCACCCGATGGCCACAACACACCAACGGACTCACCACCTCACCGCGACTTTGAGGGGACTTCCGGCGCGCATTTCGTGAACGAGACGTCCCCCGCGCGATCGGCCCGCGAGAACACGAAAGGACCTCGGAGGAGTATCCAAGGAATCACTGAGACCGGCCGGAGGAGCGACAGAGCTGCGAGCCTCGCAGAAGAGCAGTCGAGCGGAAGGCGACTCGAGCTGTCTGAGTTTGAAACGCGCGCCGATGGATACGCCACGGTGTGCGCTCCGCGAGCGCTCCGTTACAACTGGCGAGAACGCGCGAGTAAGCCAACATAGTAAGCCCCGCGCCGGCGGGCAGGCCGGGCGGAGGAAAGAGAACGACCTTCCTGTGTGATACACGCAGCCGAGCGTGTGTCGGTGTGCACGCACGCACGCACGCCAGCGAGCTGCGGGGGCGACATTGCTCGGCCTGCTCGGAGCTGCCGAGCTCGCGAAAGGCGTAAGTCCGCGGAACCAGCCGCGAATAGGGAGACGGGTCCTACCCTTGATGCAGGAGCCCTCCTTGTCGCGACGATGAGAATGTGAAATGTCTGCGGGCACACGGAGAAAGGCGGACGGCTGTTGTACCTGTTGTTGGGTACTCGCTCGCGGAATAGAGAGATCGCGGTTTTTAAATATCAACCATTGTGTCGGCTGTCGGTGTGTTTGTAGCACGTGTGTGTGTGTGTGTGTGTGTGTGTGTGTGTGTGTACGTGTGCGTCTGTGCGTGCGTTCTTAGAGTTCTGGAGATCGTTGGTGTCGCCGTGGCTATCTCGCTGATTCCATCGACATTGATGTTCTTCGATTGGGTCTTTTTCTAACATCTGAAAATCTAAAATCTTTTTCTAAAAAAAAGTGTTTTCAATTATGTTATGCGTCGTACGATAGAGGAAAAAAAAGGCGACTGTTTTCGTGCTTATAATCGATGGCATTTTGCGCGTAAGGCGGCATTTATTACGGTGACGAGTAACCGTTGAAGTCGGCTGAGCTGGAGGAAGCGAGCGCAGGCTCGCGTTATCGGAGGGGAATAAATTTCACGGCGCACGAATAAAATACGAAGATTCAGGTATTACACGCGCGGTGCTCGCTCAGGTTCCGCGTTGTATTGTTGGAGGAGAGCTGTGCTACACGCAAACACACATATGTTGCACATATCACGACTCGGTCTCGCACCGTGGGGAAAAAGTCCGACAGGCCCCGCAGTCGTTACGGACAAGCACGTCCGGCAATTTTATTTTCTATTAGTTATTCCGCACGCGGGATTCTCCTCGGGCTGGAAGCCCGAGGTAAGCGACGTGTATAAGAAGATATTACGTGATGGCGGTGAACGCGGTGCGCTCGTTATGGTGATCATCACCAGAGGACCCGAAGTGTGTGCATCGCGACTTGTGGTAACTCAACAATGCATCCCCGGCATATGAATCGCTAATGTGAGTCTCTCAAGAAGATCAATGTTCGAGCGTAGCCTCGCGATAAGTTGGCAACCTGCTTGTCCGTAATCGCGAGAAAAACTCGAGAAGCGAGCGTGAATGACGAAACGACAAAATCCGGCTTGCCGTTCGGTATTTCGACATTTTCCGACATTTATTAATTTTTAATTATTATTATTATTGATTATTAATCTCTCTGACTGGACGATCGGAGATATTTCGCTCCGTTTCAAGCCGGTGATGCAGTCGGCGAGAGGCAAGGGGGTTTGCGCGCACTCGTATAATTTCTTATCGGCATGAAAGTTCATCGAGATCCCGTGACAAGGACGACCAGCTGATATCCGATCGGACCATTCATGGGTCTACGGACCGCGCTTATCTAATTCGCGCCCGGCCAACAAATCTCCCCGTTCCTTCCTCCTCGCGGCGATATTTTACATACGCGCCTGTACCTGCCACATTCGACAAAAAGAAGATGAAAAAAGTGAGACGCGAGAGAGGCGCGTCCTACGTGATCGTTCGGCTGCATGGGCGTCGTCGCGGAGAGAAGGGCCTCGCGTCTCCGCGAGGGAAAATGCGAGAGATGCACGTGGGAGTCGGCACGATTCGCTCAATGACGTTGCGCGCGCGCGCGAACGCACGCGTTTCTCCTTCCGATTCCTTTAATAAACTCGTTAGAGCGCGTTAGATACGCAGCCGCCGGGATAAACAATTACAGCTCTCCGCCGCTGAGAAATCCGCAGATACGTGGAAAGCGCGCGCTACGTTTCTAGCGCGTGCGATACGGCCGCCATTATGGCCCGCAGATCCAGATCGACCCGTGTATATTTGCACTTGCGTTCGTGTAGATGCAATCTCGTGCCTATTCGCGTCCCGGAAGCGCGAATGAGTCCCTGCCCCCTCGCTCCCCTTCCGGTATGCGATGACTGTTCGAGGCTGAATTTTCCGATCGATCGTTGCAACTGCGTCGTCGCGCTTTCCAGTAGTTGCGTTGAAGCGATTCTGCAATGGAGTCGCTCGAAAGAAGCACTACGGGTCGGTCCTCAGGTATTCGGGAAGGTGTAGGTTTCAGGTGTAGGGCAGCGGAGAGCGGCGGAGGGAAGAACGATTAGATACTTGGGTGGCATTTCACGGTGCCGCCAAGTGCAACGCGGGGTGGTCGCGCGCGTGTAATTCGAGGCCAATCTCGGACGTATAGGCGTGTCGAAAATGAGGGTTATCTTCGGCAAAGATGCTTCGGCGCATCATAACCTGCCTTCGAGAGAATCGAGCGCAGGTCATAACAAAATATCCATCGCGGACAAGTGGAGTTTCCTGTTCTATGATGGTCTATCGTAAACTCGCGGATACCGAAACGAAAACATTATCTTAGCAAATACTCTTCCTTTTCCCGTCTTTTCAGAGAGGTGGGAAAATTGGTCATTCGTCGTACAATTTATTATTTTGATGAAGAATTCTGGAAGAAGCGAGATATGTCGATTGTGGCCTATCGCGGATTTGGCATTCACGGATGCCAGAATTATTTGCGCGAATAACTGTTGATTTTTTCTTCCTCTTTGCAGAGATAAGGGAGATTATTCTTTGCCGTACAATCCGCCAAAGTTACTTCGACAATTGAAGATCCTTTGAGGCACGTATTTTTCAGAAAATCCGAATCACATGAAAATTTATGTACGGGGATTTCTGAGGTCGCTGATGACGAATCCGTCATCAGATTTTCGAAATTCAAGATGGCGGATCCGAGATGGCGGACGCAAAAATGAAAGTCGCGATAATTTCGGTGACAGTGGGTATTGTGGGGTTTTTGAAGTCGTTGATTACGAATCCGTTATCAGATTTTCGAAATTCAAGATGGCGGATTCAATATGACGGTCATAAATATGAAAAATTAACTACCCGGAAGGCAATGTCAGGTAAATATAGTAGAATTCCATGATCCGCCAACTCGAATCTGCAATCTTGAACAATGAGTTTTGGACCTCGGATTCGTAATCAGCGAGCTCAAAAACTAACTAGAGTACAATTTTAGCGAATTTTATGTACATTCTGTGATCCGCCATCTTGGAAAATTAATTTTGAAATTTGCACCTCAGATTCAGCGACCTAAACAACTCTCAAATCTTGATTTTGAACAAAAACTTCACTCATAATTCGTGGAAAACGATTTCTTTCTGTAAAAATATGTATTTTTCACACTTTGTTTATTTATATAAGTGGACAACTTATGCAAAACACTTCTCAACCTTTCATGTATGTTCCCATACCATATAAGAGGCTAAAAACGCAAAAAACCCGACAAGAATCCCTCAAATATGAAATATTTCATGAAAATGTGAGAATAAATAGGTGGTAAGTATACTTACCACTATATGCCTCAAAGGGTTAAGAAGATCACTCAGCGTTCGGTCGAAGGCTGCGTACCGCGTGCTCAGTGTCCCCAATATTTTCCACCGATCCCGGGGCGGGGTCGAGAACCGCCAGTCATGGCAAAACGTCGCTGATCTAACGGCGGCATGCCCGTAAGAAGAGCGCGGGCGACTTTGCCTCCCGAGTCTGCACGAGATTGCGGCGCGCGAGAGTGCCGTGCAGCCGCGCGTACTATCGCAGAGTTTCGCCGCGCAACACGCGCGCCTTTTGTCGCGGGCACAAGGGGCTTCACTGTGAAAGGTCCTTCTTCTTCCATCGGCTCCGGCTGCGCCCACGGGGATCCCGGGGAGAAAATTCAATTAGCTCCGCGAGACTAGATCACCGTCCACGCCGCGGCTTGCAGCTGCAATCGGCAGATAAGCTTCGCGAATGCCCGCCGCCTGCCTGTGCGCGTAACGACGGCCGACAGTGCGAAATGTGCGTGCACGTACGCGCATTCAAGTCTCGTGAAGCAGCACCGGCTTATCTCCGACGCGCACAGGTACGAGCCGGCCCTACGCGAGAGAGTCCATCTGTTGCGCGACGGACGTTTTCGTGCGAGATTGTTCGAAGGCGATAGCCTCCTGTTTACGACAGCAGAGATCGAAGATTTACGTCATGTTGTGGGGTATAATGCCGGGAATCACCGGCTGTCTGTTCGACGGAGAAAAATCCGTAACAGTAGATGGGGTGTGAAGATCGTCTGGCGATGGCGGAGTCTCCTCTGACAGGCGGATCTAAGGACACTCTCGGGTGTCGCATTTAGGATCTGGACCGAGAATCTGGAAAGCGTCGCGTCGATTGTACTTGCGTCTTCGATCGCTGATTCCTTCTCGGAATCGGAATTTTTCGGAACTTTCTTTCCCTCAGCCTTTCACATCCGTTCACATCCGCGTGAACTCAAGTTCAAAAACGAGGTTCAAACGATACTGTCGCGGGGCAACGTTGAAACGTTGAGCAATCGTATTTTTCATCATTTTCAACTTAAGCGACGTAACAGACTCGAATGAATTGCATAGCATTACCGCCAAGTGCCTGGTAGTTTAGCAGTTTAGCCTGTGGAACCTGCTGAGGTGTACTCGCCGATAATACCATGTCATTTGGCTGCGTTACGTCACTTAAAGTGAAAATGATCGAAAACACCATCGCTCTGTCGGTGAGGATTATTCGCATTTCCGCGATTTCCTACGTCTAAGCCATCCTCCGCAGCGTCCCGCGTAATTACCGTCCGACGAATTTCAATCTACGGAATTATGCTAGCGTCGAGGGAGATGGAGAGATGAAGATATCGGTACACTTGTCCTCGCGCGAATTCCTCCGCGCCAAGTCGATTGACCACTTGAGAACCGCTCGAGCCGACGACGGGAGGAAGTGCGGGGAAGGGGGTGAGGGGAGGGGGGGCGACGGGAGGGACGGGGAAATCGGAACCATGGTGGTCAGTTACTTCAGCCGTGTACGACGAGCA